ATCTTAGCCTCAAAATATAGGTGCAAGTCCTCCATTAAATATTAATTCATCTCCAGCTTCCTCTTCTCAAGTTCCTATCCTACTTCATTAGAAACCCCTGATGAGACAGTTGCTACTTCAGAGAGAAAAAGAAAATTCACATCAGCAGTTTGGAATGATTTTTCAAGGACAACGATTAATGGTATGCGGTTTGGTGTTTGCAACTATTGTAAGGCACGGTTGAAAGCAGCTAAGAACTATGGAACCACAAGTTTGCGTGACCATTTAAAAATTTGCAAGAAACGGAGGAAAGATGGGGCCATGAGACAATATGTTTTGCAATCCAATATTAAAAGGAATGAAGTCACTAATGAAGCACAAGTGGAATACCATAATTTTGTGTTTGATCAAAACATCTCACGACATGACCTTGCTTGCATGATCATAGTACACGAGTATCCACTTGCCATGGTTAACCATTCCCGCTTTCGAAAGTTTGTTAATACCCTTCAACCTATGTAAAACACCATCAAGAGTGATATTTTAAAGATCTATCATTCCGAGAAGGCTAAAACAAGCAAATTTATGGATGATCTTCATGGTAGAGTTGCCCTTACTTCAGATATGTGGACTTGTAATCACTCAAAGAAAGGTTTTATGGCGGTAACGGCTCATTTTATTGATGATTCATGGAAATTACAACGAAGAATTTTGAGGTACATTTAGTTTCTTTTTCATTATTATTTTTTTCTCTCTATTACAAATATATTGTATATTAGAAAATGTTATTGGTTGCTTTATGTTTTAAATCCATGTTTCTTTGTTTCTTTTGATAAATGCTCATGGTACTAAGCATGCACTTATTATATGTTTATTAATTATGTATATATATATATATATATATATATATATATATTTTAATATATTTTAGGTTCACCTATGTGCCTGCTCCACATAATAAGGAAGTTCTTATTGAAGTTCTTATTAATACCATGTTAGATTGGAATATTGAGAGAAAGTTGAGTACCATTACCTTGGATAATTGCGCCACAAATGATGCCATGATTGATAGTCTTTTAGAGAAGATTGATTCAGGTACACTCTTACATGAGGGAAAGGTTCTTTATATGAGATGTTGTGCACATATCTTGAACTTAATTGTGAAAAATGGGTTAGAAGTAATGGGGGATGGGATTGAAAGAATCCATGATAGTGTGTATTTTTGGACAGCTACACCGGGTAGGATTGAAAATTTTGAAGAATCGGCTAAACAATTAAAGATTCCATGTACTAAAAAGTTATGTACTGATTGTAAAACTCGTTGGAACTCTACATATCTTATGCTTCAAGTCGCTTTAATATATAAAGATGTGTTCCCAAGGTTGAAGCAACGTGAGAGGCTTTACACTAAAGTGCCAACTAATGAAGATTAGGAAAGGGCAAAAGAAATTTGTGCAAAGTTGAAACTTTTTCACTTTACTACAGAGTTATTTTCTAGATCTAAATACCTTACTTCAAATTGTTATTTTCAAAAAATTTGTGAAATTAGAGTTGCATTGTCTATTTGGCTTGAAAGCCCACTTGAGATCATTAGAGTGATGACATCAAAAATGATGGTGAAATATGAGAAATATTAGGAAGTTTGTCATGAAATGATGGTAGTGGCGGTGGTTTTAGATCCACAATACAAGATGAAGCTTGTTGAATATTATTTTCCAAAAATTTATGGAGGTAGAGCATTGGTTGAAATTGAAAAGGTTCGACAAAGTTGTTATGATTTACTTTATGAGTACCAAAGCAAGGCATGCTTTAATGGAACTAGTGCAAGGGCTTCATCTTCTAATATCACTTCAATAACCGGAGTTATAAATTTTGAGGAGGAGGATGATCCCTCACAGTTTGATTTGTTTATGAACTTGAGTTCAAGTAAAGTGCAACTAAAGAGTGAGCTGGACTTTTACTTGGAAGAAAATGTGTTGCCTAGATCAACTGTTTTTGATGTCTTGGGCTGGTGGAAGATGAATGGAATTAAGTTTCCTACTTTGCAAAAGATTGCTCGGGACATTTTAGCTGTCCCTGTGTCTACCGTAGCATCGGAGTCCGCTTTTAGCACCGGTGGTAGAATGGTTAGTCCACATCGTAGTAGAATTCATCCGACTACTTTGGAGGCTTTGATGTGTGCCCAAAACTGGATGTTGAGTGAAGAGGATGGTATATTAAATCTAAAATTTTTGTTATTAATTTTTTTTTTATTATTATTATTTTTTAAATGTAATAGCTATCTAAAATGTTTTATTTTGTTTTAAGGAGCTCGTGCAGATCTAGACCCATCCAATGCCAATATATTTTGTGATTGTGATGATGATTCTCCAAGATCTGAGCTTTTGAACTAAGGTATTACTTTAAACATTGAGGTTAATTGGTTGCAAAAGTTTTAATATCTTAATCAATTGCTTGAATAAGTGTTATTACAAAGGTAAATTATGAGGCTGCAACTATTTCTATCTATTCTTCTTGTTGCTCAAATACTTCTAATAGCCACCATATTCCTTACTATTTATGGGTTGCTCAAATGTATATATATATCTTAAAGGAAGACCAATAGAACTGCAATTGCCTCAGTCCCAAAGTTTCTTTTTGTTTTCTTTTTATTTTATTTTATTTTTTTATTTTTTTTTGGATCCTGATTTCTCACAATGTTGAAGTCTCCTATTTTGAGAAGAGATAGGAACCCATTGCATTGTCTAGAGAAAAGAATTGCATATATTAGTTGGAAATACAAAACCATTGCCAATGTTTGGTTCAAGCAATTATCTAACTGAAGTTGCAAGTTTTTGTCTTAATTTGAATTATTGATATATATATATATATATATATATATATATATATATATATATATATATCAATAATTCAAATTAAGACAAAAACTTGCAACTTCAGTTAGATAATTGCTTGAACCAAACATATATATATTTTGTATTCTATTTCAGGATTTGTTGCTGAGTGTGTAGACATACACCCATCCAATTTATGTTATTTTCAGCTCTACAACTTATGCCACGGAAGCTTTGAAGGGACTTTAGAGAATGGCTTGATATCTTTGGAACTTTTTCAACTTTAGTTACTTTTGTTCAATTAATGAAAGACTGGTGTTTGTTTGGAACGCGTAATTTTGTTTGTCGGTTTTTTTTTTTTTTTTGGAAGAATGTTATTTGTTTTGATTCATGAGGTTGAAAATTTCCAGATCAGGTTGAAAATTGTTATAATTGTGTTGAAGTTTTATTAAATTATTAGGTTAAAAATTTTATGGTTGTGTTGATTTTGTTGAAGGTGAATTGGAATTTAAATAATGTTATGCGGGGCGGGGTGGGGCGGGACGGTGCTAATGCGGCGGGGTGGGGACGGGAGAGGGGGTTGAAAATTAAAAAGGTATGGGGGCAGGGATGAGGTTAAAAAATTTGACCGGAGATGGGGATGGGGAATGAGATCCCCGCCCCACCCCTCCCCATTGCCATCCCTAGATGGGACTTGTGGGACGTTGGACAATGTGAATTATGAAGTCATAATTAGTACATTATATAAAATCTGGATATGAACTAGGGCATTGTTGTTTAAAACACCAAATATTATTATTTTCCCAACTTCTATTTTTTTTTTTGTTTTTAGTCATACATTCCAAATGTTGGTCAGAGATCTAAGTAGCAGCATGCTAATCCATTATCCTAAATTCAGCAACTTTTCATTTTCAATTCACTAAACCTTTTGAAGAAAAGAAAATTCTTTTTGGTTTTTTTAATCCTTTGAATAGCTTACATGAATCATACTCATCTCCTTCTGTACAATAACTGCCAAAACACACTCCAAATTTCCTGGCTTCACAAACCCAACTATCAAATTACTATGAAATGTCATCTTATTTGTAAAAAGTAGAATCAAACCCGCCCATAAAATCAAACCCACCCATCAAACCTTATAAAAAGATGCCAAATTGCAACAAAGTTGCAATTTTTTCAATCCTCCTTTGTTATGCTGAAAAGATACCAAATTGCAATCCTACAATTGTCACTGAAACCCTGCAAAAATGATACTACAAAGTTACCATTTTCTCTATAAATTCCAACAAGAACATTGGCCCCACATCCTAAAAAGCATTTAAAAAAAAAAAAAAAACTATGTATGCTTAATGCTTCAACATTCATTTGATTAATGCAAAAGCAGGTGCACCACTGGTCACATTTTGATTCTAAATTGAATCAAAAGAGTTTGCACAGTTGCATACACAATTTTGGATCTTTTTCTAACAAAAACACCAAGATAAAAAATAAAATTAGAAAAACCACCTCTTGAGAATGTGAGTATCAGTGAATGAATACAAGTGGGTGATGAGAAAGTTGGTGAGAGGCTCATTGGGATTGAAGAGCCGTTGATGAGAGACTTGAAGGACGAGGAATTTTTAGAGGGTCAATTGAGAGAGAAGAGGGTAAAAAAAGAAAAAAAAAAAAAAAAATACAAATAAATTAATGTACGGCAAATTATTGGATATTGCTAGAGTAGCTGTAAGCCGAAAGAATAACTGAATAACTAAAACAGTACGGATTTGCTTAATTTGTAACTTTGGAAATAATTTTCAAGAATTCAGAAAATAAAAAATAATTTTTAGAAAATAAAAAAAAATAATTCTATAAAAATAGTTTTTTTTATAACTGAATTTTTAGAAAACAGTTTTCAAAAAATTAAACCAAGCAGAGTTTTTTTTGTACAATTTTTTATTTTTAGTTTTTTAAGAACAAAAAATTATTCTTAAAGTTACAAACCAAACAAGATTGTACATTTTCTATTTAAAATTTGTATGTCTTTTATGGCTTAACTTTTACTTCCGTAATGACTTGGCCTTTGCAATGAAAAAAAAAAATGTTTTTCCAAATGTAAATTGTTTCTATGGTATAGGGTTAGGCTTTTCGGGTCGGGTCGGAAGTTGATGGATCGAGGAACCAGTATTGGGCTAGAAATTTCAGGTTGAGAAAAGAAAAGACGTGACTTTGTGAGTAACAGAAACAGCTTTTCCACACTCTCTCGAGATCTCTCTCTACCACAAGTCAAAAGTTTTAATTTTGATATATATATATATATATATATATGTTGTATATTTCTCTTCCGAGAAATCAGGGTTCGAATTCAATCGATCGATTCGAGATTTTCAATTGAAGGAAGAGTATTGAGCCCGGCATGGAAGTGAGTGGTGAAGATCACAAGGAGGTCTCTTCGAAGATCGTAGTGGAAGAATGGAGCGGTACATCGTCGGCGAAGCTCTCAAGGACTGCCACTATCACTTCCTCTTCTTCTTCGATCTCTGTCCAAAGATCCGGTGGCCGATTCCAACACGTTTCCAGGCGGATTCTTGAAGCATTCGTGCCTGAGGCAAGATTTTCTCTCTCTCTCTCTATATATACGTTCACAAATTCATACGATTTGAGCTTGTGCTTTTATTTCTTTTACTTCGTTTATGAGTTTATTGCTTCAAAGACATGAAATTGGAAGCTAGTCTACGGTTAAATGACTTAGAAATCGAATATTTAGGATTGAATAAGAAATCGAACATTTGTAGAATTTGTTCAGTAAAAAGAAGTATTGTAATTTAAAATAAGAAATCAATTCAGAAACTGAATGAATGTAACTGGGTTATTTTTCAAAAACAATAATGCTTTAAGTATGAAACTGGGATGTGTGTGTAAATTAAACAATACTGCAAGTGGTATCTCTTGAATAACAAAAAGAGAGAGAATGGTGACAGAGCATAAAAGAAAGAACTTTATTTAACTGGAAACAGTAATATCATCAAATATGCTTTCAATTTTTTGTTCTTAATTTCTTATTGTAATATTTTGAAGATGAGTTTGTTCGATTTTGTGTAAATGCAGGGGTTTCCTAGCAGTGTAACTCCAGATTATGTCTCTTTTCAAATGTGGGACTTATTGCAGGTTAAGATTTGGGACACTGTATATAAAGATGCAATTAAATCTGAATTAGTTTTACTTAAAGATTGATTGGTTCAATTTTCTCTAGGGCCTATCGACTTACATTCGGACAATGCTTTCTACCCAAGTAAGGTTTTATTGTTCATATTGGTGTTTTTTAAACCTTGCTAAATAATCATCATCGTCATCATCCTTGCCTTTATCCCAGAAACCTTGCTAAATGGTTGTTTGAAAATTGTTCGGTACTTGAATCATTTTCAGGCTCTCCTAAGTGCCATTGGTGTTGGTGAGAAATCAGCCACCATCCTTGGGGCTACATTTCAGGTAAAGTTTTTACATATCACAAACTCTTAGTTTTATTACTTCTTATGTAATTTCATTCTTGATTGTTATGTTAACAACAGTTTCTGAATGTTGAAATGGTTAAAGTGGTTTCTAAGGGATTTAACTGGAATGCTTGGAGGTATCTTGTTCACATTTTACCAGGTCTGCAGTTCTCAACCTTTTCATCTGGTGTTGTTAAATTAATTAGGGGCCACTAGCATGCATATGTGTTTTCCTTTTTACGCACCACTTTCCTCCATGTTTGTCTACTTCTCATATGAGAGAGTTGTGCCATGGGATTTAACTGCTCTTCTCCTTTTCTCCCACGGGAAGTTTAATGATTCATGCACCTCATTCCAGCTCTCTCCTTTTTACGTATTTACCCTTTCACGAGTAGTGCACACCATCCTTCCATTTGAAGATTTACTTTCTCATCTTATTTCTTATCTTTATGTAAGAAATTGTGCAAGTTTTTGTGTGAATTCCAACAAAAGTGGGAAGTGCCATATCCTTTCTGTAGTAGTGTGCACCATGTACCTGATGAATGAGTAAACTCAAGGTCTACTTTCATCTGCGAGATAAAACTAGGCTTTCTGGAAGTAAGCATAATTAGGTCATTCATTGATAACTTCATATGGGGTGATTTAATTTTACTCAGCCTTTAGGGAGTGGGGGGTGGGTGGGTTGAATTTTTTTTTGCTTTGTACGTTATTTAATAATTTGAATTTATTAGATCATGTCAAGACAATAACGCTTCTAATTCCTTCTTCAGGGTTCAAACTTGGATAACAATGCCAAAATGTGGCGTTTGGTTGCAGATCTCATGAATGATCTTGGTACATCCCTTATTATATTCATGCATTCGAACCTTGGAAACTTTTTTGGAGAAACCCCTCCTTGGTATCTCTTTCTTGCTTTCTAATACATGCATACACATACACCAACCAGAACATGATTTTGGTGTAAAAAAACATGTACTGCCTTTAGTTTTGGTTACATATTCTGTATACATTAAACTTGTTGTCTCTCTCTCTCTCTCTCTCTCTCTCTCAACACACGTTTGATGGGGACATAAATGTGACATCTTTATTTTTTTGGTTATCTGTTCTATTGGAAATACTGTCTACTTCAAATATCTGCTGACATTGAATGTCACTTTATAGAGTTTCTAATTCAATATACCAAATTTTAAAGTAGTGCATTGGTGTAAGAAAGGGTTATTGTATGGAAATCATGTGCATGTATGAAGTTCTCATAATTTTTTTCACTTCTTGAGTTCATGTAATATCAAATGCTTGAAGCTTCATCTCTTATTTATACCAGCACATATTACTGTTCCAAATTGAACATTAACTTCAGCATGTCTAGTAAGAGATGTAAATGCTTGTGGATACTTCATCTGGTGTAGATATAGTGCTTAAGTAAAGTTCTGTAGTATACTGTTTAATTTCTCCTTGGGATGCTCAAATATTGAGAAGTAGATTGCAACTGGCCGTTGCTTTATAAATAAATGATCCTTATCATGTGATAATTAATTAAATGGCACACAAAATATCTTGCACTTTCATTGATAGTTCAAATGCACTTCTATCCTTTTATTTATTTCATTTTATTTTATTTTTGGGGTACACATTAGTCTCACACATCCTTTATAACTTTCCCACAATGCTCTGTTTAGTGCTGAGGAAGTGTTGAGAAAGAAATTAAAGTATTGTTTTAGTTTTATCCTTCTTAGCGTATGCAATCTGAGATTGGAACATCCTCTCAAGTAAGCCTACACAGATTTTTGGCTTGTTTAAATTGATTTTACATTTTCCTGACTACAAAACGCCACAAAATGTGAGAATTAAATTGAAAAATATTTTGTTCTCCTCAGTTCCTTAGCAACCAAGTGAAAAGTATTTTTTTTTTTCACCATGTTGAGGAGAGACACCTCCATTATTTTGTGTTGTTACATGATGAAAGTGCGTCAGATCCTTATTACTGCCTGTTTGTTAATATGGAGCACTACAGCTCCTAACAACAGGAATGGGGATTATTTATGTCGAAAAGGGAAAAAAGAGAACAATGTGTTCTAAATGATTGAAGTCATGGTGCTATATACCAACTTATAATAGGACTGGCAGTTCAATATTTAGTATAATATTCCACTCACTTGAAGACTAGTTTCATTTAGATTTCGTTGCCATATAGCTGGTGTAATTTGATTATATCTTTCATAATATTTGCCTTGAGATGACATGAAAGGTTTGGTTGCAGGAATGTTGATGGACCTTCTTTCTCCTTTATTTCCTTCAGCATTTGTGTTCATTGTTTGCTTAGGGAGCTTATCAAGATCATTCAGTAAGTTTCTATAAGCCCCATACTTAATACAATTTGTAAATCAGTGCTCATCAGCTGAGTATTGTTAATCATATTAGGGTTCTGTTGCCCGAGTGTTTTTGTTGAGTTATGTTGGATCTGTCTGTAGGCTATATGTAACAAGGTCACTTAAAAGTGGTCTATGGAATTGAAATTATTTTAGTTTATTAACATGTACTCACTCTTCTTTTTTATTTATTAATTTTTTTTTTTATAACCTATAATATGTGAATTATGTAATAATTGGCCTTGAATTAGGAAGCAACTGCAAGGTTTTTATATAATGAACTCTTTATGAGTTTTATTTCAACTTTTGGCTGTGCACAATATATTGGATAAATGTGCCAATGCGCATACTTGAACTAAAGGTAGCCTCTAGGTAAGGTGTAATGGCACAATAAAAACAAGTTGGTTGAGATACCCATAAGAATATCACAGACAACACCTATTCGAAGACTAAATACATCCAACATAACAACCCCATAACCAAGTCTATGGACTAGACACAATAAACCTTAGAACAGAACCCATAGAATTTGTCATGTGTACCAATACCATCAGGCTTCCATTACACATTAATTTCCCATTTTTGATAGAAATTCTGGGGTAGCTCGAGTCTCTTGGTCCTTGTGCCTGAAATTGTTGTCAAGTATTTGCCAATCTTACCAGCCATATATGATAAATTAAAGTTTTAAGTAACTGCCGCTCTTCAAAATGTTCTCAGAAAGGTTGCATCTTTACACAGTCAATTCACTACCTAATCGGAAGAGTAAATTACCATCCCACATATTTTAGAACTCTAAACCATAAAGCCTTTGCAAAAATCAGTTTGTTATGAAACTCAACTGTTCTTCAATAGAAAGCGATAGACTCTCCAGAGATAATATATTTAGTGAAGAGCCATTCCTTAAGTTGAGAGGCGATTTTAATAGCCAACTAAACCAATAATGAATGTCTGGAAAATTTTTACTGCCCACAACAAATGTGCCTGAGTAGCAATTGGAAAAGGATCCTTTGATAAATACAAGTAATTCAAACTTAAAGTCTGCCAACAGAAAAGGGGATCCAATGGATTTGAATTAGCAGCTGTGAAAACCTCTGGTCATGATGAAGATACTGGTAACTTTTGCTTAGGATCCTTACCCTATTGCAAAAATGCAAGGCAAGAGGTCCAAAATGATGCCAATTACCAAGCCATAAGCAAGTACCTGTTTTATGTTTTAAGCTCTTAATTATTTGTTACTTATCAATATATATATATATATGTGTGTGTGTGTGACCTTCCTCCATTACCATGAACACTTGCTAAGATTTAACAAAATAATAAAAAAATAAAATAAAAAATCTGTCCTTTATCCAGTTCTGATAAACCCGATCCACCCATACAAAGTACTTTTTAGTTGAAACAAACTAGATGTGCCTGTCATGGAAGCTTCATTTTGAGCCACAATTTAGTGCAACGCCAACTCACTTTCATCAAATGTATTGCATTTATAGTCTCAAGCACTTCAATTTCAGATCCAATTCATTTTGTAAGATGAAATAAATTGCTTCAAAATGCTTTAATACTTAACAAAACAGATTTGATTCAACTGTAACCTACCAGCAAAGAAAGAGACCTACTCATCCGTTACTAAATTTTAGTCATAGCAAGATCAACCAAGCTTCTGCAGTGTTGTTCTGAAAGCTGGGTTGTGATAAAAGAGACTCCAAGCTATCTAAAAAGAAGTTTACCCTCCTTAAACCCCAAGAGTGCCTAGAATCTCATTTCTAATAGCCACATACGCCAGCAAAGCATACAAGTTTCTCATCAGTGTTAGTTCGCAACCCAGTTATAGATAATTTTTCAATCATATTCTGATCATTAGACACTGAATCTACAACGACATGACAAAAAATCAGTGAAACAGAGGAGGGTAATTTTGTGCTGCACGTCTGGAATTAAATTGAAAGCATTCTGGCCAATTCAAGCTCTAAATATGCTTGTAAGGATATTTATTACCATAACAAACAAATAGGAAGAAATCGTAATTGCAAAGACATCTTGTCCCTTTAAATTCATGATTTGTCTCTCCATTCATCATGATAGAGAACTTTCCGGAAAAAATACAACAATTATCCATTCTAGGACTCAAGAAATGGAACTTCCATAATTAACACCTAAAGATATAATCCCACTTCATAGTGTTTACGTTTAAAAAGATTTATTTTACTTGCACACACACACCCTGCTTATTGTGGTGCTCACAAACTATTTTTGGACATTATTAGCAATAGCTCGTCTTGTTGACAATGTCAAATTTTGCAAATTCTTTGTAGGTGAAATCACCAAATAATGCAAGTTTGCAGCTAGGAATGAGCTTCAGTCTTCAACTTCACATCCTGATTCTTCTATACCACTTCAATTCATATTTTTTTTTTTTGATAAGTTCTATACCACTTCAATTCATAAAAACAGTTTATAAAATATCAGTACAGTAATAGAGCCTTAATCAGCATATTTTCTTTAATCTGTTGTTGGGATTGATTATTGTTTAAAGCCCATTGTTGCCTGCAGTGTTCTTAACTACAAAATATCTCATTGCTTCCATTTAGAAGTTTACTATAGCTAATATATCCAGAGTCTTCAAACCAAGATATGTCACCAATCTATAGCGAACCCCATCTCTTTCTCTCCCCCATCTGAATGAATTCCAGTTTCCATTCTGGTGGACTATGTATGGGTTGCATACTGGTCTATAACTTGGAAGAAGATTTTTATTTGTTATGCTTATTAATATTATTGATGATTTTTTTTTTTTTTTTTGTTTTCCATAGCATTTAAATTTGAAAGCAGCTCATATAATGAATAGCTAATTTCTTAGGATTTGAGCATGAGATCATTTCAAATTTTTACCAGCATTATCGGTGAGGAGTGTGCTTTAGAATGCTATTGAGACAAAAGTGAATGTATCTATAATCAGTTTTTACATGGTGACCAAAGGTCCGTTTTTGTTGAGTTCCATTTTTAATCATCTTTTTTTATATTATGTTTCTTCTTAGCTGGTGTTGCAAGTGGAGCAACTAGAGCTGCTCTGACACAGCATTTTGCCCTTCAGAATAATGCAGCAGATATATCTGCAAAGGTACTAACACTCACATTTCAACAGTTGAACAAGAATTGCACGATCAACACTAAATATTACTTATACTAATTGGCATTGTATACCTTACTTTAGGAAGGAAGCCAAGAGACACTTGCAACAATTACAGGGATGGCATTAGGAATGCTTCTTGCACGTATTACAATGGGACACTCCATAGCTATATGGCTTTCTTTTTTGTCTCTCACCATGTTCCATATGTATGGTTAGTTCTGCTGCTTGGATTTTTTACTGGAATCTCTTACCGGAATATTATGACATAACACATTGCAGGAGCCATCTGGCATTCAAATTTGTAAGCGATGCGGGTTTTAAATAAAACTTTCACCTGTGTCTTACAATAACTTTTCTGTGCAATACTGCTTTTGGATATGTGTAGCAAATTACAAAGCTGTTCGGTGCCTTTCGTTGTCTACATTAAACTCTGAAAGAAGCTCAATTCTTCTGCTGCATTTTATGGAAACAGGCCAAGGTGAGGCAGAGCTTCTACCAGTCTTTTACTGCGGTTGAGTCAGTTGACTGATATTTCTTTACCCTAGACTCTGTAATTAAGGTCCTTTATCACACTGTTTTGAGAAAGCAGCATACCATGGGAATTATGTGGGCCAAACAATGTAAAGTTATACCACTACATATTTTAATTAAATTGAAATATCAATTGGTTTTATACACTCACTCCAATATGTCTTTATAGATAGAAGCTGTTTTTTCTTGAAAATTGAATCAAACATCTTGTGTTTGGAAGTATTATATACTCGATTTCTAGTATAATGATGAAAAATTATGCTAATTAGTAAAATCAATTACTGTATTGCATGATTATGGGATTGGCTTGTCACTTCAGGAGCAGAATGTGTACATACATATGTATATTTTATACACATATTTTTGTTTTATTGTTATGACATGTGATGTTAAAAATATCTTTTGGCTTGGCTGCCAGTTCTCTCCCCAGACCAGGTCTCTGTTATGGAGCATGTTTTACCATTATGGACCACTCCATGGAGCTCAAAGAATGTAAAGTTTTTGCATGCACGAATACGCCTAGGTGTGAGGGTTTCCTCACTGAACCTCCTGGAAATGTGAGTCTTCAATTCACTCAGTTTTATTGATTTGAATTTAGCCATCAAGGCATCCTTAGGTGTTCAAGTACTTTTGCCCAGTTTAAAAATCTTACCTTCAAGTGTATGCTTTTAGCATGCACTTGTCCGGTTCTGGGAGTCATCTTGGAACTATTGGGTTGAAATATTGCATTCTCATGCATCTTTAGAGTCAAATACATTGGCTCAACAGTAGAGCTGATAATTTTTTTTTAATTTAAAAAACAGCTACTGAGCCAACTCCCTCAGTGACTGCATTCAACAAACATATCAAACTGCATCTAAATTAACTATTCAAGTGGTTTTTCTGTTCTTGGGAAACAGGGTGGGCCTCTTGCGTTCTGCCAGATCTCATAACAAGAAAGGTTCAGTTTTTTATCTATTAAATTCATGAATATTCAACATAAAACTTCTGGCTTATTTTAGTTATCCTTTTATGATCTTCTAGAGAAGTACCTGCTACTCGAGCAAAAGGGCATCATCAGCGTTGTTATCCATAAAGATTCAGCAGCTGCAGATGTCTTGCAGGCATTCATGCATGCTCTTGTTATGGCAAATCTTGTTGGTAAAGTCAATTCTGCCCATTCGGAGAGCCAATTGTGGATGGATAAACACTATGAAGGCTTTGTTTTGAAGGTATTATTCTATTAATGTCCTCTATCTTCCGGTGCTTTGTATAGCTGGCATCTTTACATAATATCCTATTTAAATGAAAATATACAATGAGCTTAGCAAAAACAGCCTAAAGAAATAATGGACCTAAATCCTGCATTTGAGAGTACTCACTTGAATTTGTGCTTGTGAGTTGTGAATAAGGTATAAGTCCAACCAACCATTTGTCCCATGGCCAATCACAGGGCATTACTTTTCATGGTATGCGTCTGCAAGCTGTGGTTGTCGTGGATGAACTAACAGTGAACTTTGTATCTTTTCTTTCTTACTCAAACTGTATGTTTTTAAAATGTTTTATTATGCATTGATTGGCAGCTCCAGTCATCTGGGTGGAAAGCGGAACGCCTTTTGTCAACCTCAATCACTTGGAGGGCAAATTGGATGAGTAAATCAATGGATGAAAAGAATGACTAGAAAGTTTGCAGTATTCTTGAAATTTAGCTTTTACTTCTGGGAGTTCAGAGAATGAATCTAACAGCTATCTATCTGAAGAAGAAAGTGTGACAGGATTATGACAGGGAAACAGTAACGAGTAATATTGATGATTGCAAAGCAATTCGGGTAAGAGTGTGGGTGCTTGTTGGGACAAGAATCTTCCCATTCTCAATCAGAACTTTTTCTATCGTCACGGGTCTCTCCTTACCTTTTGTTGCTATTAGAATGCTCAACATCATATTAATACACTACTAATCTTACACGTCAATGTCACGAACTCGGAAGATGTTTGAATTATCCTTACTTAATTGTCCAAATGAGTTTATCAAGTTCCTGCTGTGTCCAGGTTAATGTGGGTGCTCCAGTGTATTTGTCAACCACTTGGTCCTGAAACTGCATTTGGGAGCTAAAGCAACTTGATTAACTTTTGGGTATGTTCACTTTCATGTAATTTATAAGGTGGTAGTAGCAGAAAATTTGTTTCCTCTCTCGATGATTTCTGGTTGTAGACAAATATGCGTTGTCCGTAGGCCTTTGGGGCTTCATAGGGAGAAAATTTTATGTTTTTCATTGCTTTAAGGAAAGCTTTAATGGATTGTTTCTTGTGTGTTATTTATTTATTTGTTCTATAAAGCATGCTTTGCTTTGTATTAGACGCAAAAAGAAGAGAAAACTAAAGCGTTTACACAAAATTTGAAGGTGAAAAATTTATGCTCAGTGGTGGTGTGCAATATGTAATCTTTAAACAGCGGAGCTGCATCAATATTCAATACAGACTATATGCACACAGAATATGTATAGTTTATATATATATATATATATATATATATATATATATATATATAGTATGTGCCATCTACGGTATTAATTATTAATTATACGGCGTCGGTGATTTGGAGCTACAATATTGAAATTATGAATGATAATGATATATTGAGGTTTATTAAAAAGGACAAGCAAAATAAGCCAGCGCTTCCGTTAGGGCTATTCATTTGTTTTTGTAGACAGTCAATGATTGTTGGGTCCCAGAGTCCAAGCATTGTAATATAAATATTATGTGTAAAGCAATCAAGATATATATATATATTCCTTTGCAGTGTTTGTTTGCTGAGAATAAATGAAGGAAAATAATACTTCCTATTATATAGAAAGTTCCAAAAATTTCTGGCAAATTTGGTTAGGTTTTATGAGTTATATGACCAATTCAATCACAGTGCTCTTGCCACAGACACCTTCAAGCAGTCATAAAAATTGTGATTACCTTGTACACAGAAACTTGCTTCATGAAACATATGCATGCAACTTCAACTTCGAAGACATTAAGTATGACACGAACTGGGATCCTCTCCGGTGCTTTGGCAATGACCGGAGTGAACCCACAAAGCACCGGAGTGATCCCAGTTGTGGGTTCCACCTATTGCTCCGTTGATGGTGTACAAGAGACGATTCAAATTCATATGGATAATGTTCATTCAAATTCATACACGGGTATCTAACAATTTCCCCTAAAATGAAAAATGTTGGTCATGGTGTCTGGTTTATACGGGCAAATCATACCAATCAATTAGGCAAATGGCACTTCACATTCATTTAAATTCATGTAGGAAAAATATAAGTGGTAATAACACAAACAAATTATACAGTACAATTAATCAAGCGCAATAACAGCTCTTCTGTTAGTGTTTTTGTTTTTTTTTGTCAACCACTCAATCTGTTAGTTGCTGATGCATTAGTTTATGAATATGACCCAAAAGTAAATAAATCAATTTATGTGGTTGTTATAAAATCAATGAGCTTTTTTTAGTACAAGCTTCATCTGGTGGTGGGAAGCAAAAGGTTAAAAAAAGGGGGCATTCCGAGAATTGAACTCGGGACCTCTCGCACCCTAAGCGAGAATCATGCCACTAGACCAAATGCCCTTTTGCTCTTTAGATGTTAAAAGTTAAATTTTTATTAGTTTGTTTGGTAAAGTTTTCTCAAAAATTAAAATTAGAAACTGTTACTCTTATACTTTAAGCGCGTTGAACACACTCCATTACATCATTATCTTATAAGAATACAATTCTTATTTATTTAGGAAGATTTGAAACTTTACCACTTAAACCTAGACCCGTCAATGGAGCAGATCTTGATCCGAATTCGATCCAATTAGTTAGATATGAATTGAATAAAAAATTCGATAATCCGATTACGATCCGAATTCGATAATTCGTTAGCTTAACAAACTGAATATAGATTATGCTGATCTGATCCGTTAATAATCCGATTCGATCCAATTAAAATTATTTATATAAATAATTAGTTATTAATAATTTTACACACACACACACACACACATATATATCAATACTTCTATTAATCCAAAATTTAAAAAAAAAAAAAAAAAAAATCATAATATTATATATATAATAATGTGGTGTTCTCATTCACATGCTAATAAATCTTTTAATATACAACTAATAATATCATATTCTTTATTCATTAACAAAGAGTAAATAATTTACAATATATTATATATCAATGTTATATATATTAGTTATATATTACTAAATTTATATATATTAATTATTTATCATTATATTCATTTGGTTGCATAGTTATATTATGTATCATTCTGTATATTAGCAATTATCTGCTTCATCTAACTTTATAATTATATATGTTAGTAAATATGATTTTAATCCGAGTCCGAACTAAATAAGATATGGATCGGGACATTCAGTCCGAGAACCCTTTAATGATCCGAATCCGATAATTCGTTTGCTTAACAAATATGATATGTATTTGATCGATCCGATCCAAATCCGATCGGTTCACAGGCCTAAATAAATTTATGAAAAGAAAACTTAAGTCCTTATGGAAGAAAAACAATTGCATTTAAAAAGTGCTAAACATTTTGATCGCATAACTTTAAAAAGTTAAAAATTAAAGAAGAATTCATAAAATCGACTCATTCATATAGAGTTTGAGACAAAAATAAGGGTGCCAACATGCTAAGAATTCCATTTAACAGACCAATGATCCAACAAAGATATTATCAAAATTTGGTACCCGTCCACTGTATCATGTCATTCAAAGTTATGAATGGCTAGCATAGATAGGCAGTTGTTGGTTCAGAAGTCATAGTCCTTGAAGAGTTTAGACACCATACCTAAAATGTCAAAATACAATGCTCTCATTATTTAATGTACAAGCAAATATATTAGACCCCTGCATCATGCATTAAATATGGAACACCAATTTAATATATAAGACAGTTTTCTTTACACTTGTTGCATCGTACAAAGGGTATATTTGAATGGTTCATATAGTACATATGTCCCCGCATATATTACACACGTCGTATATGAACCCTAAGATGTACCTATGCAAAGAGTATATTTAAATCGTTCATATAATACATATGTTCACGCATATATTACACACGCCGTGTGTATACACAAATTTTGAAAGTCCGCAATAGAAACAAAATATGGAGCAAATAGAATGTTATTAATTTATGAATGTGGAGTACAGTCCTTTGTAATATCTTTTACAAAAAAAGAATGGTCCTCTAATTCGATCTCCTTGTTTTTGGTTGGTTGGATCCAAGGGCTGCACGAGCTTGTTCTTGAATCACTGTGGAATTGGATGAAGAACGGCACGTTATTGGATGTGTTGTTGGATGTGCTTGATGTTCTTCGCTTTTGGATTTCGATTCTGAATTTGTGTCTGAATTCTGAGTCTCTGGAATTCTGAGTCTCTGAACTTTTGTGTTTGAATTTGTAGACTTCTGAATTCTGAATCCTCTCCCTTTTTCTTCCTCCAAGCCTCTATTTATAGGCTTCTTGGATTAATAGGATAATGACACGTGTCATCTCCAGATAAGGGAAAAAAAACTATAATTGGGCCGGGCCGGATATATTATGATAATTATCCTTAAAAATAATTATTTCAAATATATTTTATTAGGGATAATTATTCTTTTTATTTGACCATCTAGACTCTAGACTGGGCTTAATTAAATAATTTAAGTGGACCATACTTAGGCCAATTAAATAACTTAATTAAACATTGGGTCCATATTTAATGGGTTCATTTGTCCAAATTAAAGTTCACTAAAATTTTAGTGTCTACGCTTAACAGGACTTGTCTCCTTTTTCAAGTGGGACTTGAAGTATCCAACTTTTTTTATTTATTTATTTATTTTTTTTTTTTTTTGGATTTTTACTTTCCAATTTATACAAATCCCTTGCCTATATATACCACCCAAGTCATAGGGTTTGACATCAATTTCAATCAGTTCTGAAGAACTTGTAAGATTGCGGCCTCTGAAGATTGTATTGGATTGCGGCATCTGCTTGAACACATATGTATGAATGCTTTTTTTTTTTTTTTTTTTTTTTTTTTTTTTTTTTTTTTTTTTCATGCCTGTTGTTGTTGGAGGGAACAAATTTTTTTTTTCCTCCTCCACGTTGCCTGTTGTTGTTAGAGGAATCAATTTTTTTTTTTTTTTTTCTCCTCCTCCACGTTGCCTGTTGTTGGAGGAATCAATTTTTTTTTTTTTTTTTTTTTTTCCTCCTCCACGTTTCCTGGAGGATTGAGATTTGCAAATTTTTTTTTTTTTTTTCTCCTCCACGTTTCCTGGAAGATTGAGATTTGCAATTTTTTTTTTTTTTTTTTTTTTTTTTTCTCCTCCTCCTCCACGTTGCCTGTTGTTGGAGGAATCAATTTTTTTTTTTTTTTTTTTTAACTTTCCTTTTCTTTTCTTCCCTTTTTTTTTTTTTTTTTTTTTTGTTTTTTTGAAGGACTTGAGAAGGTATAGCAAATTGGTTTTGTCAGCTATAACAGAAATTGAAATCCTCTTTCTAAACAACATCGATCGAGCTTTGGTATCCATCATGGTGGTGTTCAAGTGTTTCGCAAAGCAGAAACTGACTATCTTAGAGAGCGAGAATAGTCAACGAGTCCAAGGAACGACATTAAGTGTATATGACTCACTTTTTGGTCGCAATGCTATTCAAGTGCCTGATTCTAACAATAAACATTGTTCATCTCATTGGACATGCACGGCCACATGCGAACTCACCGACTTTGGTCCTGATCAGATTAATGAAGAATCTATTGTCTCTAAAGCCTTGATACTAAATTCTTCACTTCATGAGAGAGTTGTTGAAGAAAACCAGTTTTCACTATTGGGTCTTACTGTTCAGGCGAAGGAAATATCATGGAGTATTCCCTATAAACTTCCTGCTGAATTGCTATACACCGAACTATATTGGGAGTGGTTAGAAGATGTCTTGGCGCGTTTCCATGACTTTCTATCAAAACAACAACTATATGGTACTTTATTCGCCTCCCTATTTTCCTATGATCATCATGAAGATGTATTCAAAGCATTCCTTGAATGTTGGTGCCCAGTCACTAATACACTTCATTGTTCTATTGGCGAGCTATCAATTTCTCTTCGAGATCTATATATGCTAGGTGGTCTCCCTCAGCAAGGAACTATTTATGATGAAGTTATTCCTTGTGCAGATGAACTATCAAGAGCTGGCAACAACAAAAATTCTATCCCTTTGAGTTGTCAACACCTATTTTTGGCCTTCCACAGACTTTCCAAGAAGTATAAA